GATATTTCCATTTCTGAATGTTTTAAGGCCCACAGAGATGAGTTTATTCAAAGCAAAACGTTTCTTATTTAATAGGAACGATCTTGAAAGCCGCCTGTCCACTTCTTTGGCCCTATTTAGGGCTGTATTTATTGTAGTAAGCTATTTTCCAGTACAAAGCCCCAGCCCCTGTGAAGCTCTGATATTATTAGGAAGCAACGTTCTGATAAAGATAAAGAGCCTGAACTCAGGGAGACTAGCGCTTCTTTTCGCTTCTTTAGCCAAAGTTAGTGCAAGTGATCCTGCACCATCTATTCATTAGGTTGTTCTCCTTGCCTTTGCTAGCATGCTTCCTGCTGAGAGTAATTTCATTTCTTATATAATAATAATTCCTGTATTTAAATGGAGCCTTTCTCAAAAGACCAGTAAAGTACCTCTCAGACATTAGCTCATCTGTGCTTCTAACACAATTGCCTTAAGAGGTAGTTGATAATTATTCCCATTAGAAAGACCAAACTCCTAAGGCCCCCAACTCAGAATATCTGTTGAACAGCAGAATCAGATTAAAGTCACTTGATTCCTTGCTATTCCACTCTCCCTTGGTCTGAGGGCCAAGGAGTAATTATCTCCACAGATGGCATTTCCCCACATTTATAGACTTCATCAACACTGGGTTATTAGGAGGCAGAAGAGCATACACTCCTTACCAAATACTTGCCCTCTTCTTGCACTGTGACTCYACAGAAAAGTCAGAGCATCTTTTCACCTTTTGTTCAGCACAGAGCATGTTCAGCTGTGCAGAGTACATGGACTTATATGACAGTTAAGTTTATCTACCAGAAGTAAAAGCAGGTGATTTAGGTGTTTCTTGGTGGTTTCAGTAGACCTTTCTGCCAGATGTGCTCTGTACCACTTAGCACATTTGAATGCAGCAAGGAGAATTGTATAAATGTGCTAGTTTGAAATATTCCACTTGAATAGTCAGCATAGGCTACCTCTGCCTATCTGATTTTGAAGTCCTAAACCTCTTCCAGTTCCCACCTCCTCATAGTACTTGTGGCACTGCATCTGCTTAGTAATGGCTAACCTGTCCATCAGCAATTACATATTGAAGTCACATCAGAAACAGCTCCTTTTTTTATTTTTATTTTTTAGTTGTAGATGGACACAATATCTTTATTTTTGTTTATTTATTTTTGTGTGGTGCTGAGGATTAAACCCAGGGCCTCACATATGTGAGGCAAACGCCCTACCACTGAGCTACAACCCCAGCCCCAGAAACAGCTCTTAAATTAAGGATGTCATTACCATTGTCTTCTCTAGTTGTTGTTCACTTTCCTCTATTGATAAGGTTCTGGAGTGCTTTAATTTTTTCTAACATTTTTCTTCTTAGGTTCTCATCTATTCAAATTAAGGTAGTCCATTACACAGATTCARTAACTAAAATTAATGTTAGAAGAGCCAAAAATGACTTGAATAATTTAGTTACTATTTATAATTGGAAATACTTTTTTAAGAAAATCAAATTATTCTTAAGGCCACTAAAGTCAATTTCTGTGTCACTCTGTGAAGCCACAGAGATGGAAATAGAAAACTAGTGTAGGATCCTGCAGTGTCTGGGGCATGGCACAGTACTGTGACTCTGGGTCTTGACTGGGTTGACACCCACTTATAGCCTCTTCAGAATCCCTACTTTCTTCCTTTTTACAACTTGAAATTAAGGTCAGTGATGATGGAATAATGTTCTGATGACTGGGTATCTGTAGTACCCCTTTTCTCTAACATTGTGAGATCTGGTTTTCTTTTTTATTTGGTTTTTGCATTTGTTAGACGTCCTGAAGATCTGTCTGTGGTCTGATTTCCAGTAGGTCCCAGTGAGTGCACTAAATGTCCTCGGCATGTTGACTGGTGTATTTGCCTTTTACTGCCAGGAGGTTGTGCTATAAACAATGGGATTGAGACACAGCATGAACCAGGGGATGAAATTTTATTTTAAAATCTGAAATGCTGTGTAAGCATTTAAAGTATGAATTGGTAATTGTCTCACAACAGCTTCCATTAGATATGGTTTATTTGTAGTCCATCCTCTTTTCAGGAATCCAGGGGAGTGTTAACACACTGAAGCGTACCGCATATCATTTACATTTTTAGGCCAGTACTGAAGGAAAGTGACCATAACTTTTAAGCATTCTTAATACTGGAATGGATTTTATTCCTGTGTCCCTGGAGAAAACAGAATTTTAATTTTCCATTGGAAAGTAAGAAACTTCCCCACTTTAAGGACTCAAGTACTTCTGACTCAGAGAAATATCCTTAAAAAAAAAAAAGTCTGATTCTAAGGTTGAGAAGTCTCTTTTTGCCCCTAATGAATTCAGCAAAATGCAAACTTTTAAAAATCATCTGTCTAATTTGAGATTCGAGATCGTCAAATTCTGTCTAAATATTTTGTTTTAACTTCTAAGCTCATTATGGCCTCTTTGTGTTAACTCGTATTAAAATCTGTCAGCTATGACTGGTCTCATAAGCACAGTCAGCGGACCAGAATAAGTTAATTATTTACTTGTGTCACTAATGCTCTTCATCTAATGAAATGCACAGCTGTGTTAGATCTGCAGTTGGATGTGTAGCTCCCATTGTCCCCCAAGTCAGCAGAGGGTAGAAGCCGCAGTGATGGAGAGCCCTCAGTTCTTTCTGCTGTTCGGGCTTTCTGTGTCGATTTCATGGATCTTTTATCATTCACTTTCACACAAAACAAACAACACAGGCTGTCTGCTATGGGAACCATCTTGGCATATAAAAGGGTTTTCAGAGCCTAAAGTAATTTTAAGTTAGCGAAGATTTAATTTTTGGCTTACAGGTGCCCTTGGTTCAGATACAGCCAAAGCAGTTCCTACAAGGGAATGGAAAAATCGGAAAGCTACTTATGTTGGKTTTTTTTGTTTTGTTTTGTTTTTATCAAAATGTCAGAAGAGGGCAGATAAGAAAAAAACTTCTCAAAAAGGAGACTGTGTACTAAATATTAAGTTTCAAGGAAAGTTATTAAATATTGTGAGTATTATTTTTGCTTTAGTAACATAATGAAGTTAAATTTCCTTGGTTAAATGAGACAACTAAAACTGAAAATACAAAGTGCAAGTCATCTCTCTTCCCCCCACCCCCGCCATCTGAGTATGTCKTGCTTCCATGGTCATTTTTGTAACTTCTGTCCCTCGCTTCTCACCTTCTCCTGTGGGAGGGTGAGAGGCCTGGTCTACATCCTGAGCAAACCCTGCACCCCTGTGAAGCTCTGCCAAGGGTGGCTCGTTTTGCTTTAGTTTTGTTTTCAAGGATATAGTTGAACCCTCCATCCTCTCACCAGCCAAAATGTCATTCTTAGCCAGGCGTCCCAGGATCAGTCCCTTTAGGAGTTGCCGTTTTTAACATTTTGTTCACTCCTATACAATGTTGTTGTCGGTGTACCTAGATTTACAATTTGATCTCTTTCAAAGCAGATTTCCAAGTAGCCCTAGGGTTTTGTCAGATAATTTCAGTGTGGGTAAGATGGATTTTTAGAGGAAAGAAAAGAGGGTCACACACTCTGCTTGATTTAAGTTCTAACACATTGTAGTAGARTTTGAAATAAAGTGAACTGAATGACTGCTTCTGTTCTTGTAGGAAAGCATACGTTCTTTATAATAAACAAAACCATTTCAACCAAAATACCAATTAAAATAACTCTGTGCTCTAGAATTCAGYTCCTCAGACCTAATTACATCTTGTTGGCAGCCTCTAGAAATTGGAGTATTAATAACTAATATGAAATAAGTAGAAGGCATGAATGGCCATCTTTTTCCCGTAGACTTTAGCTCTTCACAACTATAACAAATCACAAAAATTTTATTTTAAAGTWGTTTGAAGGGCTCTGTGGTATAGTACTTGCCCAGCATGCCTGCACAAGACCCTGGGTTTGATCCCCAGTACTGCAAAAATAATAATAAAGTAGTTTGAATAGTTATATAGAAGCTGAAGTGAGGAATGAAAAAATAAGAACAGTTTTTCAATAGGTGCAGATGGTTGATAACTCTGCAGACAGGGGAAAAAAAGAATTTTATCWTACTACATTATGAGAACTTTTTTTCTTAATTCAGTGCCATTGTAGACTAGTTTTCCAATTCTAAATTATGTGATTGTGGGTAAAAATCTAAATTCTATTTTTTCTCCTCCTCTCACGAAAAAGAAATTCCAAGAATTAAAAACAACTTAGCAACAAAGTCCCCTATAACTTTAGAACAATATTAAGGGAGTAATAAACCACAATTAATTTAAGAGAACATCAGTCATTTGCAGAGAATTGTTAGGTTTTTTTGTTTTGTTCTGTTTTCATTCTTAGAATTCCATTTCTGATTCTAACATTTTTCTCCAAGAATGATTTGGCATTTAATTTTCTTGTTTATCTTTACAAGTTCAAAGATTGCTTTTTTAACATGCTGTAAACTATAGGAATTAAAATTCCTTCAGGCAATATAGGCTCAGCCAGGGAAGTCCTGGCAAGAATCAGCCAACCAGCCAGTTCTGTGAATATCAGCCACAGTTTTTTAAAACTATATTTTACATGCCCCTCTTGTTCAATCAGTTCTGTGTTGGATTCCTGTAATTTGGGTGTAGAACCTCACAGATCACAGCCTAACTGGCAAGGAGCAAGATTGTTGCCGATTTAAAGCTTCAGGGACTTCGGCTCAGGTCCCAGGGAATTGCTGCTCTTTGGTCTTCGTGGCACAGGAGGGTGGGCAAGCAGCCTGACAGCATCATTGTGTATCACGCCAGCAGGACAGTCCACAGGCTGCAGTTCTTTTCTGCAAGGAGAGTCATTTTTGACTGTCTAACAGGATTGCTGGAAATTGCTTTTGTTATTCTTGATAGAGACGATAGGGCAAATTTTAAAGCAGTAGAAATAGAGATAGCAGCAGGAAGATCCCAATTAAGTACTGTATTCTTTTTTCTGCCAGTTTGCTTTATGTTGCATGAAATCTTCTCTCCCCCAGGTGTTTGTGGTTTGATCGTCCCCCAGGAGGATATGCCATTTTGTGATTCTGGCATCTGTCCGGACATCATAATGAACCCACATGGCTTCCCATCGAGAATGACGGTCAGTTACCTTTAGGCTTTTGAGAGGCACAGCTTTTAAGGAAGAAAGCAGGCAGTTAGTTTAGTTGTAGTAAGTGGAGGTGATGAGACCCTGAAACTGAGTTTTAAAAAGATTCCTTTGACCCCCTGCTGGATAAACAAGCTCCTAGTCCCTGGCAGTTCTGGGCCACTCTCTTCTACAGAGAAAAAGGAGCTCACTTGCACAACTGGAGTCTTCTGAGTGAGGTACTTATTAGCCTTCTGCAGAGAGCCCCTTACACCAAATCTATGTGAGTCTCCCTTTCAAGGCCACTTGGCTGTTCTCCTGGCTCCCCCTCTTACTGGCCGATGGCATTGGACAAGTCACTTTATTCCTTTACTTCAGTTTCCTCATCTGGAAACTGAGGGAATAATGTTACCTAACTTGTAAGGTGTTTGAGATGTAGAGAATTACACCATACATGTCAAGCTGTTTCAGTAGAATGTGTCACACAGCAAGAGATCAATGAATACTGCTGCTGTTAATTTATCATTGTTATTAATTGTGGTAGTCCCATATCCTGTTGGGAGAATAAGCCAGAGATAAATAAGCAAAGAGAATTCCTGTACCACAGGGAGGTACTTACTTAATTTGTTCACATCCCACAGGTGGGAAAGTTAATTGAGCTGCTGGCCGGCAAGGCGGGTGTGTTAGATGGCAGGTTCCACTACGGTACTGCATTCGGAGGGAGTAAAGTGAAGGATGTATGTGAGGACCTCGTTCGCCATGGTTATAACTACTTAGGGAAGGACTATGTCACATCTGGCATCACAGGGTGAGTATGCTGTTGAGCCACTTTCAAAAAAAAAAAAAAAGGAATGGTTGTATTATAATAGAAGGTTAAGAGCCCTTAAGGTGTATTCTGTCAGTATWCCTTAAAGAGTGTACTTCAAAACTGGGCATGATGGTGCATGCCTACAGTCCCAGCTACTCAGGAGACTGGGGTGGGAGGATCACTCAAGCCCCAAAATTTGAGTCCAAGCTAGGCAACAGAGCAAGACCCCATCTCAAAGAAAGAAGTATGATTTAAGGATTGAGCATTAAGGTTTAAAGAATAAAACTTTACTGTTTCAAGAATTCTGATATAAAAAAATGAAAATGTAGGCCTCTCAGTGTCACCAGTTGCTGTGTGCACGCGGAGGAGGACTGGGCTAGCTCGTAATAAACACCTCTTTGCTGCTTAAAGAAAATGAAAATTTAGAAAACTGATAAATTGAAGAGGGCTATTGGAATGGTTATAATTTTAAAAGTAGAAAAGATTTAATTTAACAAAATATGAAACACCTCAATCGTATATAATGCAGAGGGTTTCCCTTAACTGTTGGACTTACTCTACATTTATTTGACTATCAGACAATTGGTACTTTGATATGTGGCCTGAGGTCTAAAGTTGTGTTAAACATTTAATATGCGTTTGGCATCAAATGTATAAAAGTAAACAAAATTCCATTGTGTATATATGCCACATTTCTTTATCCATTGGCATCAAATGTATAAAAGTAAACAAAATAGACATGGTCCCTTTGCTTGAGAGCTGACCATTTAAATTTGTTATTAGACATTTAAAAATACACAAAAGGCAACTTCTCAGTGGGGCCAAATATGACTGCCACCCCTTACTGTCATATCGTCCCTCATTGCCCTCTGTAGCACTCTGGGCTCTTGGTCTCTTTAGTATTCTAGTTCCCATGCTAGCACAGGGTCTGACACACAGCAGGTGCTCTAGAGGTGCTTGTTTTTTTTTTTTTAATTGATTTTTAAAAAAATTAATGACAGCAGAATGCTGTCACATATAGAGCACAATTTTTCATATCTCTGGTTGTATATAAAGTATGTTGACACCAATTGATGTCTTCATACATGTACTTTGAATAATGATGTCCATCACATTCCACCCTCATTGCTAACCCCCTGCCCCCTCCATTTCCCTCCTACCCCTCTACCCGATYGATCTAGAGTTCGTCTATTCCTCCCATGTTCCCCCTCCCTACCCCACTATGAATCAGCCTCCTTATATCAGAGAAAACATTAGGCATTTGGTTTTGGGGGATTGACTAACTTCACTTAGCATTATCTTCTCCAACGCCATTCATTTACCTGCAAATGCCATGATTATATTCTCTTTTATTGCTGAGTAAAATTCCATTGTGTATATGCCACATTTTTTTTTATCCATTTATCTTAGAGGTGCTTGTTAAATGAAGAAATGCAAAGAAGTAGATCCACCCAAAAATAGGTCTCTCCAAAATGAAGACAAAGGAGAGATTAGAAGATGCCTGTGAGCAGGCGAATATTTGAGATAAGACAGATATTTAAGCTGAGATGAGGAGGATAGGCCACTTGGAAAGTTTGATACAGAGGAAAAAATATGTTCAGCATCTTTCTAGAGAAAGAAATTAGTAAGTTCTGAGARCTGGAAGAGAGCAGCTAGCTTCCATGTGAGGGGGCTAAGTAGATTGGAGAGGGCAAAGGCCAACTCACCCAGCAAGGGCTCTCCCTGTCAACTGGTGAGAAACAGGTGCTTACAATTGTTTTGACTCACAGTGGGTTTTAAAGGATCAAATCAGTTGCTTAAATTAAGATACAGTTAGGTATCTTGTGCCAGCTCAAATCCAGGGACACAGTGCTTATACTGTTGTTCCAAGGTTGTGAGCTCCTTGGGGGCAGGTGAAGCTCGGCTGGAAGTACAGGAGGACAGAGCCTAATTGCAGGGTGCAGAGACTCTCCAGATGTCATTAACATGCCCACATCCTTAGCTGTTAAAAATATGGAGTGCTTTTTAAAATGGTCTGTCCAGTAACAGTAGGGATTTCTTTAGGTGCCTCCTCCTCAAACATTAGAGAAAATCACATTTCAGGAAAAGACCAATAGTCCATTTCAAAAATGGTTCAGTAAAATAGCTAAAGGTCCATGTCAAAACACAGTTGTCCTTGATAAACCAATCATCTTAGGCTCCACCCAGAAATAATGCAGGTGTTGACCAGAAAGTATACAAAAACCTCAGGACCAATTTGGTGGAGCTTCTTTTTTCTTTTTTTTTTTTTTTAAAGAGAGAGTGAGAGAGGGGAGAGAGAGAGAGAGAGAGAGAGAGAGAGAGAGAGAGAGAATTTTTTTTAATATTTATTTTTTAGTTCTCGGCGGACACAACATCTTTGTTGGTRTGTGGTGCTGAGGCTCGAACCCGGGCCGCACGCATGCCAGGCAAGCGCGCTACCGCTTGAGCCACATCCCCAGCCCTGGTGGAGCTTCTTGATTGTATATCAGTAACTATACTGACAGATCTGGGTGGTCATATCCTGTGTGCTTGGGCAGCTTCAGTCTATGTCCCCAGCCACACTGCCTMCCAGACACCCCCAGCCAGAGTTTTCATTTCTTTGCTATTTATCTCCATGGCAGAGTATTTTTGTTTGTTTTTGCTTTTCTTGTGTGGTGCTGGGAATGGAATCCAATGCTTTGTGCATGTTAGATAGGCACTCTACTACTAAGCTGCACCCCAGCCCTCCATGGCAAAGTTTGAGAAGTACTGTTCAGCCTTTTAGTTCAAAATATATATCCTGTGTTTATTGTTGAATATAGTGAGGTGGAAAAATTATTTGTCTATTCTGTTGATAATGCAGTAGCATGGAGCTCCATAAATTCTACCCTGAGCAGCCACGTTACTGAGGATTAGAATCAGTCATTAGAACTAGAAGTAACCTTTGGCTGACCTTGTTTTATAACCAAGAAAACAGAGAAGTCTTCCTGTTTCTGTGCAACAGACCTGGGACAGGAACAGGGTCTCTGGATTCCCTCACCATTGCACCTTCCACTGCATTGTGTGACCCCCAGAGTCTGGTGGGGCTTAAGCCAGCAGAGTGACTTGATGGCTCCTCAAGCCTTTGCTATTGGCGCCAAGGTATTGGTAGTACTCCACTTGGGCATTGCTGAGTATGTGCAGTTGCCTCACTGCTGAGTCTGGGGCTTGCTTTGCTCTTCTCAGTTAAGATCCCACTGTGGCTCAAAATGTATTTGTGTGTGTTTCGAGGTAGGCTGGTGAGGCAGGCGAGCTCTGAATGTGAATCCATACTACACCACTCACTMGCCGCGTCTTCTCCTCTCAGATCCTCCTCTCAGACATCTGGAGAATCTCTGCACCCTGGCTTTATTGCTTCATCTTCAGAACAGGTGTGACAATACTCCTTAGATAGTTGTGTGGATTGTGTGGCAGGTAATAGGTGCTTTCTTTCTTTTGAGGAAGGATGTCGCAAATGCTTCAAAGGCATCAATGCCTTAGTTTTTCTTGTTCTAGATTAAAAACAAAAGGTTTTTTTTTTTTTTTGTCAAAGTATGTGTATGTTCACTCTTTTTCAACTCTTACTGCAGTTTTTCTAAMGATTCATTAAATAAGTTATATGACATTTATTGAGCACCTGTACTAGACTATTAGAGGTGCTGGAGCCACAGTGGCAAAGGAGACAGAGAGCTCATCCTTGCAGTTTACTTATTGTAGGGAAGACAGGCAATAACCAAAGAAGTTATTAAAAATACTATAGTAGCAAAAGGTGAAAGTGCACTACATGTAGAGTCAGCTGCGTGGGTGGCAGTGCTGCAGGGGAAGTAAAACTCTCCTTTGGAAAAGGTGATAAGGGAAAGGCTCTCTGAGGTGGTGCGCTGTTGACGAGTCATGTGAATACCTGATGGGAGAATGTTCAGGCAAAGAAAACAATACATGCAAACGCCCTGAGACATGGACAGCATTTTGCATTTGAGGAATAAAGAGGTCAGCATTGTTGGAGAATGAGCCATGAGAGAATAGAAAGTGAAATTGAGGCAGGCAGGTGCTGGATTATGTTTGCTCTTCTGGCTATTATAAAGAATCTTGGCAATATTGATTCTTAGTGTGATGAGAAATGATATGGGAAGTTTAGAGCAAAATATTACATTTTAGAGGGACTCACCCCTGTTTATTATGTGAAGAATAGATTGTCAGGGTATAAAAGTGAAAATAGGGAGAATCATGAGATGGGTTGTGGTAGTCCAGGCAAGAAAGGACAGTGAGAGGAGAAAATCTGCACACAGCTTCACAACCTCTTTAGCTGCTTTTTGGTATGAGGGATTGAACCCAGGGGCAGTTAACCACTGAGCCACATCCCCAGCTCTTTTTATATTTTATTTTTTGAGACAGGGTCTTGCTAAGTACTGTCTTTGAATTTGTGACCCTTCTGCCTTAACCACCTTAGCCACTTGGGCTGCAGGGATTACAGGTACACACCACCATGCCCAGTTCAAACCTAGTTTCTTAACCCCAAACTCTGACTTTTCTTTCAGAGAGCCTTTGGAAGCTTACATCTATTTCGGTCCTGTGTACTATCAGAAACTGAAACACATGGTGCTGGATAAAATGCATGCCCGGGCCCGGGGACCACGAGCCGTCCTTACCAGGTAAGAGAGAAGCACTTACAAAAAGAGCTTATTATGCAAGTCAAAACAGTCTTGCATTTTCTCGATAAGGCAAAAAGTAGACTCATGGAAATTTCTGTTTTCTTGAAATGTCAAAATGTAGGGTATGGGCTTAATAAAAATCATACATACTACCAACATGAAAAAGCAGCTGATTAAAAATCATTTCACAGGCTCAAGAGCAAAGCCATTGAAGTCTTGCCACAGTCTCCTAATACAACCATTTACTGTGTACCACTTTAAATGTGGTCCTTTTCAGAAATGTTTATATATTAGAAGGTAAGAACATATATACCCACACATAGTTTCAGAGAATCAAGTTCATGGTCAGCTAGTTCCTTTGCTCTGGGCCTGCAATGAGGCAGAACATCATGGCAGAGGGTGTGTCAGAGAAAAGCTGCTCAACTCTTGGCAGCCAGGTAGCAGGGATATAGAGACTTGCAGCATAAGCCAGGGACAAAAATATAGTTCCCAAGGTCATATCCCTGTGACCTGCTTCCAGCTACATCCCATCTGTCTATACTTAACCACCCAGTAGTCCATTCAGGTTATTAATCTTCAAATGGATTAATCCACTGTTGAGGTTCCAGCTCTCATTATTGCTTAAAATCCCTACCTCTGAATCTTGCTGCATTGGGGATCATGCTTTCAAAATATGATTTTCAGGGGATACTCCAGATCTAGACCATGACATCTAGCATGCGTGAAGCCCTGGGTTCAATCCCTGGACTGCAAAAAAAAAAAAAAAAAGAAAAAGAAAAAGAAAAAAAAATTTTTGAGGGAAAAAATTGTGTCTGTGCTGAACATGTACAGACTTTTTCTTGTCCTTATTCTCTAATCAATATAGTATAGCACCTGTTTACATATCTTGCATTCTACTAGTATTATAAGTAACATACAGAGACTGTAAAATATGCTGCGTGACGACATTTCGGTCAATGATGGACCACGTATACAGTGGTGGTCCCTTAAGATTATAATGGACATGGAAAATTCCTATTGCCCAGTGACATTGTAGCCATGRTAACATTGTAGCTCAGCACATACTCACATGTTTGTGGTGATGCTGATGTAAACAAACCTGTGCTGCTGGTCCTGTAAAAGCATTGCACTGAACACTTACATAGAATGCACAATTCCTGATAGTGATAAGAGACAACTATGTAACTGCTTTACATATGCTCTATGCTCTTTCCATTACTTTAGAGTGTACTCCTTCTTCTCATAAAATAAATGTACCGTGGGGCTGGGGATGTGGCTCAAGCGGTAGCGCGCTTGCCTGGCATGCGTGCGGCCCAGGTTCAATCCTCAGCACCACATACAAACAAAGACATTGTGTCCACCGAAAACTAAAAAATAAATATTAAAAAAAAATTTTWAAAAAATGTACCGTAAAGCATGTATACATGTATGCCATGTATGCCACGAGCAGCAGCTGTGGACTTCTTGTGTTTACTGGGTCTGTGGACTGCATCATTTCTCTTGTGCCATATTTAGTCCTGTGTTTGTTCTTCACTTCTCTGAGGAGGAGGAGGAGGAGGAGGAGGAGGAGGGAGCTATATTATGTATACACATGCATACACACCCCGTAAGCCTAGATGTGTAATAAGTAGACTGTATCATAGGTTTGGATAAGTGTACTCTATGATGTTTGTACAACARTGGGATCCCCTGACATTGCATTTCCCAGACCTGTACCCTGTACCCCATTGTTGAGCCCTGCATGACTGTATGTGAAAGGTGTGTATAGGTTTCTGTGGATTTTGTTATCCACAGGGGTCCTAGAACCAGTCCCCTGCAAATTCAAGGAATAACTTTGGTAAGCTAAGTATTGCATCTTCTTAGGACCATTTTTTCCACTTGGAGAAATTTTGTCTAGAGCAGTGGTTCTTAGCTGAGCTATTTTGCCCCCCACCTCCAACCCCTGGGAATATTTGATGATGTCTAGAGATGTTTTTGGTTGTCACAACTTGGGAWTAGGGAGGGAGGTACTGTTATCTAGTGTGTAGAGACACCAGGGATGSTATTAAATGTCCTACAGTGCATGAGACACCCCACAACAAAGAGCTCCCAGCTCAGATTATTAGTAGTGTGKGGGGGGGGAGAACCAGATGGTAGATGTGATGTGATCTCATCTCCACATCAGCTTGGACAGTGTCTCAGCTTTTATTTTTCTCATATACAAAGTGAAGGTGATTATACCTATGTCACAGAGTACTGGTAAATACAGCATGTATATAGCACCAATCTGTAGAAGATGCTCAGTTAAAAACCTGGTCCCCTTCCTACTGGCACTGAGCATTATTTGGATGGTATGCGTAGAAAGAGGAAAAATGGTGCTATTAGTGTTTTTGGTTTTGTTTTTTTCCCAACCAAGAAAGAAACATGGGTGATTTAATCCCTTGAGCATCAAACTGAACAAATGCACATGTCTGTTGAAATAATAGGCATACATGTGCTTAAAATTGTAGAAAATAGAAGAGAGGTTGACATTGTCAAGGTAGTAATCAGAACAAAGACAATTTTAAAATTTCAGCGTGTGTTGGCAGGTACTGTATTCACCTTCATAATACTTTAGGAGACCTGTGGCAACAACAAAGAAGAAAAAATGCTGTGGAGTAAAGCAGGCATGACCCTGAGTTCATGGTTCCCTCACAGAACACCCCTCAGAAGTGTCGTAAAATAAGCTAGCCACAGAGCTCACTTCTCCACCCTCCCCAAAGTGATTTGTGTGATCATTTTCAAGGCAGAGTTGCCTAAATTGTTCAGAATCTCTAATTTTATCTACATCTCTGGATCTTGGATTCTTAACCTTTTATTCTTCAACTCAGTATATATATAAACCACACAGTTCATTCAAGAGACTAACAAGCCCTCAAACTATGGCAGTAACTATTGGAAACCATTCTTCTTCCACAGTCTATTCTTCATAATTTTTCATGATTTTAAATAACAGAGTACCAAGATATCTCTGGAAAACACTCAAAGGCATTGTTCCCTGATTTGAACATTGCACTGTCCTAATAACAATGATAATGATGGTGGTAGTAATGCTAGCACTGGTGTTTCATGTGATTGTACATTAGTGGAGTATTGTGTCATATAATAAATATTATATATAATTATGTTGTTTTTATTTAATAACAACAACCACCAAGTTACTTCTTTTCTTATTTGAGGCTCTTTGGTTAGGTATTTGTGTTAGGCAGCTTTCGTCACTGTGGCCAAATACCTGACAAGAACAACTTAGAGGAGGAAAGATTTATTTTGGCTTATGGTTATGAGGTTCACTCCATGGGCAGCCAACTCCATTGCTCTGGGCCTAAGGGGAGACAGAACATCATAGAGAGAGCATGGTATAGGAAAGCTGCTCAGCTTATGGCAGCCAGAAAGGAAAGGGTGCACATACCCAAGGACTTAGGAACAAGATGTGATCCCCAGTGACATGCTCTCAGTGACCTACTTCTTCCAGCCACACCCCACCTGCCCACAGTTACCATCCAGTAGTCCATTCCAATTATGAATCTGTCAAATGGTAAACCCACTAATGAGGTTATAGCCCTAGTAATCCAGTCTTTTCACCTTTAAACACTGCTGCATCATCATGTGAGTTTTTCAGGGCACAGTCCAGATCTAAGCCATAACATTACTCTTAAGTGCTTTTTTAAAAAGGTAAGGCTGAGCAGCATGCTCAAGTTTCCTGTACAATACATGACCAGATCCAGGTGAACCCTGCTCCAAAGCATCATGTTCTTAGTCTCTGTGGGGTGCTACCTCCTTGTTTGTTTAATAAGGTAATAATATATTTGTCCAATAACTTGTTTCAAAGGCAGCCCACTGAAGGGCGATCTCGTGATGGTGGCTTGCGTCTTGGAGAAATGGAACGTGACTGTTTAATTGGCTATGGAGCCAGTATGCTTCTGCTAGAGAGACTAATGATTTCAAGTGATGCCTTTGAGGTTGATGTCTGTGGGCAGTGTGGACTTCTGGGGTATTCCGGCTGGTAAGTGGATATAGTCTCTTATGTCATACCCCTTTTCTCTAAAATCATAGCTCAAGAATTGTCCCTGGATCATACCCACATGTTCTCCAGTCTTGGCCTTTAATCTAGGGTGTCCTCCCTATCCTTGCCTTCCTGTGATTGGGCATTCTGTGTGTGTCATCTGTCTGCATAATGATCTGTTTTCTATACCATTCCCAAGGAATAGAGACTTCATCTTCTTTTTAATATTATCTCAAGTATATTTTACAGCACTATCCTCCTGAAAAAYTCCAAGAAGATACATTGTTAGATGTTAGAATTTACAATCTGTTAAAGAAACTTTGTGGGAAAATTGTGTCAAAAGTCCTTGTTTTTATCTTCAGACACAGTGAACCAAATATGTTGCCTCAGGTCTTAGAGCATATGGTGACAGAGCCAGGACCAAGACCTGGTGGCCTGATCCTAACCTGTAGTGTACTCCAGCATGGCAAGCTGCTTCACATTTGAACTGTTCACTTCATGAGGGCAGAATGCATGTCTGTCTCAATCAGTCATTCAGCAAACTTGCGGAGTATCTGCTATTTGACAGTGCTCTGGGCTCCAGCGGTACAGAGTGAGCAAGGTAGATGAGGGCTGCTTAAAAAGAGCTTTTCTTCCATTCATTCTGATCATGTGGTCTTGTTGATCTTCACTTCTTCAGCCTGGGATTTGGTGGGTGCTTCATAAAACAATAATTGATAAATGATAACCCTGCATTTGTCAGATTGCCAATGAGTAATGCAGTTTATAAAGAAATTATTTTTGGTACACAAAGGCCATCTTAGAGAATGACACTCCCCAGTTTGTTTTTGCAATAGCAGCACCTTTCTATGGTAAGTGGTTCTGCTCTGCCACCAAAGAACATGAAGCTTTATTTAAGGTTATTCATGACCCCACTCGTCCCCATAGGCAAGGGAACCTGTGGTGCCCAGTCTCCCCTCCCTCTTCTGCTGAGACAAGATCTAGCAGAGTGCAGGCAGGGATGGGAGGTAGCCACCACACCCTCAGCAGCCCTCAGCTACCCTCTCCAAAGCTGCTCTTCCTAGGATGGGACCACCCCCACAACAGTGAGCATTCATTGCTGGGCTTTAGGAGTACACAGGCCATCTTTTCCCCCACTGAGTCCTTCCCAGAGCCTCCTTCCCAACCTCTTACCATCCTCAGCTGCCAATGTCTTGATTGAATAAAGCTGATGAAGAATCAGAACAAGGGGGCTTCTGAGGACACAGAGCGTACCTTGCTAGTTAAATGTAAAACCTTTTAGCAAATTATTTTATGACTGGTGTAGAGGAGTCTATGAGTCCTGTCCATGAAGAAATTGCATTTTAGGAACTAACAGAAGAAGGGGTGGCCACTTGCAGTTCATTCTTTTCATAAGGTTGCAGAGATGGGGCGACATTCTTCCCAGAATAAGCCTGGCTCTTTCTTATATCAATGAGATGGGGGTTTGTTTCAGTCCTGAGATGTCTATTTGTCTTTTGAAATGCATATTGAGCTTGCTTTTCATAGTCTGGGCTGTGTAACTAAAAAAAAGAAAGAAAAGAAATAGCATAATAGGAAGATGCCGGGAACCGAGTTCCACTATGTTCAAATTTGGCACAAGGATTTTTAAGTAATTTACTTTGAAAGGACAGAGAGTCATTTCATTAAAAACAGTAGTCATGAAACTTCAAGAATCGTTTCATTTTCTTTTCCTTTTTGCATTCTCCATCTCCACTGAATGGGGGAAAAGCAGTAAACCAGGTTCACTTACATACTTTGAAAGCTTCCCCTCTCCTCCCTGGGCACTCAGTTAAACCAAGGCAAATGGGAAAACCTGTGCTTAGCGGTGATTTCTGCACTATTCTTTTCTTTCCTATCTGTTTCACATGTAGATCACACACATGACACGGCAGTGCCTGAGTTTGAAGTTTGTATGTTAGTGTGTATAGTCTGTGAAGACTTTGACAGAGGACTAGATGAGGTTATGCAGTTCGAGGGTCTTTGCTACAATTAAGCAGACCTTGCTGTACCATGTGTTTGATTTTGAGCAGCCTATGCCCTTGATGCCACAGAAAGACTCCTGATGTATTTGGTAGTCTAGCTGCCTCCTTGTGCGCTGCTTTCTGGCAGAGCAGCATAATGATGCTGTCATTTTTCCCATCATTACCTGACCRTGTTTGCCAAGTTGTGTAGGAGGGAGTGCAGCGTTGGTTGGAGAAAGTCGCCCTTTTAATGAGTAGCACAATGGAGTCTGGGTAATTAGAGCAGTTCAGAACCTTAGGACAGGCCTTTGTGGATGATTTGCACATTAGTAAGGCATTGCTATGGGGAGGTTTACAGCAAGGCTGTTGTCCTCAGAAGATGCAAAGGGCAGAAGTCACAAAAGAGGGTCCCTATTAAGATAATTAGCTCGTAGAGGATATTTCACTGGACAGTCATTTCTCAGTGAAGCCACAGCCACCTTCTTTTGCTGTCTTTGTCCTAAAAAATCAGTTTATTTTAATGTTGTTCTGGTCTACCATCAGGGAAAGGCAATTACACACACACACACACACACACACACACACACACACACATGCGTATATGTATATACACACAGTATTGGGACATTTGAAATGATGGAGAAATTTTTAAAGATAGAGAAGAGTAATGTGCTATCCAGAGTACATGGGCTAGTAATGGGCTATTGTGTATGTACATTCAGCACATATAGTTATTTTTAAAAACTTAGATAGGGGTTATAGTGTAATATACCAGATAGGAAAATCAGCAAGYAGTTACCCCAGTCCAGTCCACTTTCCCAGTTAAATTAAATCATGAATATGATTCCTGAATAAATTAGATGCACCCAGGCACATTGAAGATATAATACTTAAATTCTGTATAAATACCGCGCGCTAACCGATTGCGCCACTGGAGCTCCCAAATTCTGATGCATTAAAGAGGTAATTTTTTTCCCCCACATTTTTTATTGGTACATTATAGTTGTACATCTTGATGGGATTTATTGTTGCATATCTATACAAGTATACAGTATTACAATATAATTTGATATCCCTCCCCAGCACTCCCTCCCCACCTCTCACCCAGTCCCTCTCCCCTACTGATCTCCCTTTGATATTTTTGGAGACCCACCCCCACATTTGTTTTCCTTTTTCCTCTCTAGCTCCCACATATGACAGGAAACTTATGACCCTTAATCTTCGGAGTTTGACTTATTTTGCTTAACATGATGGTGTGGTCTTTAGTCCCATCCATTTTCCTGCAAATGCCATGATTTCATTTTCTTTATGGATGAATAGAACTCCATTTTGTCTGTGTGTGTGTGTGTGTGTGTGTGTGTATCATATTTTCTTTATCCATTCATCCCTTAATGGACATCTAAGCTGATTCCATAGTTTGGCTGTTATGAATTGTACTGCTGTGAAATTGAGTATGCATGTACCACTGTAGTAAGATGACTTTAATTCTTCAGGGTAAATACTGAGAAGTAGTATAACTGGGTCACGTGGTRGTTCCATGCCTAGTCTTTTGAGAAGCCTCTATACTGATTTCCAAAGTGATTGTACTAATTTGCAGTCCCAGAAACAGTGTAAAAGTGTTCCTTTTTCTTCATATTCTCTCCAGAATTTGTTATTTGTATTCTTGATGACTTCCATTCTGACTGGTGTGAGATGTAATCTCACTGTAATTTGATTTGCATTTCCCTAATTGCTAATGATTTTGAACATTTTTTSATGTATTTGTTGGCCATTTGTATTTCTACTTTTGAGAAGTGACTGTTTCATTCACTTGCCCATTTATTAATTGAGTTATTGATTTTTTTGGTGTAAAGTTTTTTGAGCTTTTATATATTCTAGATATTAATCCTCTGTCAGAAGAGTAACTAGTGAAGATTTTCTCCTATTCTGTGGGTTCTCTTTCCCATGCCTAATTGTTTTCTTTGTCATGCAGAAGCTTTTTAATTTGATACTGTTGCATTTATTAACTCTTGGCATTATTTCCTGAGCTTTAGGGATCCTATTGAGAAAGTCATTGCCTCTGCCTAAAAGCTGGAGTGTTGACCCTATGTTTTCTTTTAGGAATTGCACAGTTACTGGCCTAACTCTGAAAGCTTTGATCCATTTCAAGTTGTTTTTTGTGCAGGATCTACATATGGATGACTAGTTTTCCCAGCACCATTTGTTAAAAAGGCTGACTTTTCTCCAGTGTATGTTTTTGTCACCTTTGTCAAGGATCAGTTGACTATAGATATGTGGGTTTGTCCTTGTGTCTTCTATTCTGTACCATTGGACTGTGTCTATTTTTACCATGCAGTTTTTGTTACTATAGCTCTGTAGTATTGAAGTCAGATATTGTGATGCCTCCAGCATTGCTTTTTTGACTTAGAGTTACTTTGGCTATTCTGGGTCTTTTATTCTTTCAAATGAATTATAGGACTATCTTTGAATAATGTCACTGGTGTTTTGAAGTGTATTGCATTGAATCTGTATATTGCTTTTGGTAATATGGCTATTTTTACAATATTAATTCTGCCTATCCATGAACATGGAAGTCTTTTCATCTTCTGAGGTCTTCTTCAATTTCTTTCTTAAATGTTCTATAGTTTTTATTGTATACATCTTGTTTTGTTTAATTTTGTTTTTTTTAGGCTATTGTRAATGGAATTGTTTTCCTGATTTCTTTCTCAGGAGATTCATTGTTGGTATATAGGAAAGCTATTGATCTTTGTATGTTGATTTTGTACACTTTGCCAAATTTGTTTATTAGCGCTAGCAGTCTTTAGTGGAATTTTATGGATCTTCTAGATACAGGATCATGTTATCTGCAAATTGTTATAATTTGACTTCTTCCTTTCTTATTTTTATCCCTTTTATTTCTTTCTTTTGCCTCATTGCAAAAGAGGCTGGAGTTTCTATATTAAATAGGAGTGGTGAGAGTGGACATCCTTGTTCCAGATTTTAAAGGAAAAGCTTGCAGTTTTTTCCCATTTACCCTGA